CGTGGGTCTCCCCGGAGAGGGGGAGAGAGACTCAAAAGGAATCACACACACACACACACATACATACACACAAATAGACAGAGAGAAAGGGAGGGAGGCAGAGAGAGGGAGGGAGTAGCTTATCAACAATGTAGAAAAAAGGAGACAGCATTCTCCCCGCGCGAAATCCTTTTCCAGCCTGCGCTACCCTCTAGCTGCGACCTGGACGATTGTGGGCAAACGGATAACATTCATGAAAACGATAGAAATCTCTCTCTCTCTCTCTCTCTCTCTCTCTCTCTCTCTCTCTCTCTCTCTCTCTCTCTCTCTCTCTCTCTCTCTCTCTCTCTCTCTCTCTCTCTCTCTCTCTCTCTCTCTCTCTCTCTCTCTCTCTCTTCTCTCTCTCTCTCTCTCTCTCTCTCTCTCTCTCTCTCTCTCTCTCTCTCTCTCTCTCTCTCTCTCTCTCTCTCTCTCTCTCTCTCTCTCTCTCTCTCTCCCTCTCTCTCTCTTCTCTCTCTCTCTGTCTCTCAAGAAGACATCATACGTATTGGTTAGGCATCAGCTGATGCGCCCGACGGTATGTTAATATTGTGTATTCACTACTATTGAGTCCATCAATCAATCTGACATGTTCAATTCAAGATACCATACAACAGAGATCACACCTCACGGAAGAGGAAAGGCGACGCCAAGATTGTAATCATTAAAATATCAATAAGCAGAATTAGCGAGGCGGAAAGGCTGGCATTCCTGTCTAGTATACGTCGGCTGTTGTACAACTTATCTCAATACTAGTCTACAATGTATCCGTCTATACCGGTATCTATAGCTATTGCCATGTCAGAAAAACTAGAACTCGGATGATGAGCCAGTTTAATTATGGCAAAAAAAAGGAGGACAAAATGTTGCGCTTTAGGACTAACTGTCCACTAATTTAACCAGATCATAATTATACAGCCGGTGATTACTCAGAAAAAGTAGAGTGAAATAAATAATAGAAGAGACCCATGCCTAGTGTACAAGACTGTGAGTTTGGTAGCAGCACAACGTGATGATCGTGTAATCCGCATGCGCCTATAGCATGATGTGTAATCCGCATGAGCCAGTATAGTAGTCGTGTGCACGGGTCGGCGGGTACGCGTGCTACCCGTGAGGACCTCGGGTAGCACGGGTAGCACAGAATAGTACCCGAAAGCCCGAAGTCGCAGAGGACATCAAGCACACTACAGTGCACGCGTACAAAAACACTCTGCAGGGGTACACGCAGTGCGCCGGTCAGCAGCAGCTCTGTGTATCCACATCACCAGACGGCAACAGGTGCACGGCAGCGATCAAGCTCAGCTCGGCAATATCATCGGTCGAATGCATGCACGACGTTGAAACAGCTCCGTTACGATAAATTACAGTATCAGGTTCAACACGAGCATCAGGTTCAACACGAGCATCAGGTTCTTAGAATTGAAACGAAAGACAGACGCGGATTAGTGTTATCAGAATTATTCTACTATCTTTACGGCTTAATTTCAGCCATGTCTATTCCTGCGTTGGGCACCGGAAACCTCAGTTCTGAACATGTCATCCGAAAGTGCATGCATGGGCTTCGATTACTGCACAACTCGGATTTGTCGGTAATTTACTCCAGTAAAATTAATTTTATTGATTCAACTGAGCCTTGGAGTGGCTTGAGTTTGGCATACCTTATAAAACAAGGCATTACGTCATATCACCTGCAACGTTAGCAGTATTCCTTTCGCGGGCTAGTGGTCTGCCCGCACTCATACTTACAAGCAGAGTGTGCATCGTTTGGCCATGCAGTGAGTCGGTCACGTGGGCACTAGCGTGTCTGCATGAGGCGTGCAGCGTGCAGGGCAACGAGCTTCATGGTCACCAACAGCCGTATTCCAGCGATGTCAAGTTGCGGCGAAGCGCTTTGTCCGCTGGCAAGGATGCTTGCACAGCAGCTGGATGAGCAGACGGAAGCACGTATTGCACCATCTGCATGCTGCGGGAACAAACGGGAGTTTGCGTTGCACCCACAGCGTGCTGCCAGAGCCAACAGGCATATAGCCGCATGAGTTTCACAAAAGAGCTGCCACATACATACACACACACACGCACGCACACACACACACACTGTATCAGAGGCTGTCTACGCCGTCAAGAAACCATTTCAACAGGACCTTTGCGTCCGGGTTCTCCTCCACGTACGCCACAAACCGCAGCTCCGTGAGCTCCTGCTCTCGCGTCGCTCGGCGCAAGAACACACGGACGGCGGCGTCGGTAACACACATGTGTCCGCGCTCATGAAACGCACGCAGCGCGCTCTCCTCCGTGATGCAGCGTTGCCGTGCTGACAGCGCGGCAAACGCCGTGACAACCAGATTGTCGGCATCGGCAACACGGCCTGCCAGGTCCAGCGTACCCACGACGTACTCGCGGAACGCTAGCTCGCCGCAGCCGGACCGTGTGTCATACTCGTCGTACAGAAGCTGTGCGTGCTCGGCGTTGGGCCAGCAAAGGCTCGCTGCAAACTCGGACCAGCTGACGGAGCCGGTCTTGCGCGTGTTCATGCGCACAAACCGGCGCATGACCGTCTTGAGCGCGGCGAGGTCGACTTGGAACAGACGATTCATGAGGTTGAACTCGATCAGCGCGCATTCCTTCGGCAGCCCAGCACCCTCTGCTATCTCCATCAGCCGCAGGTCTTCCAGACCGCAGTCGTTGACGGGCTTCCGTAGCTCCGCGGCCATCAGACGACGGACGTTGGCAGCGTACAGCTGGGCGTCGTGCTTCTCCGCGTCGCTCGGCGTGTACACGGGCAGGTACTGGACGGAGAACGTGTTCCGCCACTGCATCATCACCAGCAGTAGGATACCGACCAGCGAGCGGTCGAACGCCACGTACGCACCCACGTCGCGCTCGCCGAAACGGAACAGGATGGGCTGGACGGGCAGCCCAGGGCGGAACGCGCCCGTTTTGAAGCCGATCACGCACTCGCCGTTGTGAGTCGTGCCTTCCGGGAAGATCACGATCGGCAGCCAGAAGCCCGGCGACGCTACTCTCTGAACTATGCGCTCGACCGTGTTCGATCTCTGCTTGGCCTCCCGGTCCACCCAGATGGGCTCGGAGGACTTGATGACCCGGCCCATGAACGGGAAATGCTCGTTCTCCTTCTTCGACAGCGGCGAACCGCGGCTGTACGGATTCAGCAGCCAGGGCTCCATCACGTGACTGTGCGGGGCGACCACGTAGATGGGCGCCTCGGAGGCGCTGGCCCGAGTGCCCAGGACTGGTATTGCGTAATAACCCAGCACGAACGTCCAGCAGCGAAGCACAGGCGGAATGACGGTGGTGAGCAGGACTTTCTGCCAGTTTTTCAGATGCCCGCCATGTTTCCATCCAATCGCAGTCAGTGTGACCAACACGTACAGAACGGACGCAAACAACACGCTCAGCAACACGCGGATGGGCAGCAGAACTAGCCCTCCCACGATCAGCTTTGCGCGCTCCAGCGCGCTAAATTGCAAGTCGAGCACGAACGGATTTCCGCTAGTGGCGAGGTCGGGAAGGATACGCACTCGACCTCGCCGCGCCATGGCCTCGGCTTGCAAGGAGTAAAAGCACAAACAGTTGCTTCACTACACAACAAAACTTACTTCAAATCAAACATGTGCGTGCCAGGCAGCAGACGCATAAACTGTGTGAGTAGTAAGTGGACATCGTGTACACGTGCTTCACTATGACATACTGTGCAGCACGTGTAAGTGTACTGCATTATGCATGCTGTGCCGGCCAGGACAGTACACATGGTACATTTTGTACAGCTACACTACAGACTGACTGGACAGAGTTGATTTTTTTATAATACATACATGTAAATGCCACCGTGCCAGGATTTCTATACATGTGTACAATGTATTATGTATTACATGTAGTAGGAATGAATGACATGCCAGCCACACAACGTCACAACTGACACAAGACTTGCGTTGCTTGCTTGAGCCTAGCGCTAGCGCCTGTGCCAAGGCCACCGCCTGCCACTGCTACACGATGCTGTACTCTCTCTGTAGACTGTACTGTCTGTAGTCTGTAGACAGGAGTGTACTGTCTGTAGTGACTATGTACTAGCGTAGGGACCAGCAGACATGTCGACAGTCTGCAGAATCTTCTTTTCACACGTCATGCTGCTCAGGGTTTGCTTTCTTTCTCTTTTTCTCCCCTTCTCTTCTGGTCGCAGTGCCAGTGGTGTCATGTCTAACATTGGGTGTGGCCCAAGCGAAGGCTAGGCTAACGCCGATGCCAATGCGAAAGGGCTGATCGGATGATGATGCTGCTCAACAAAAATCCGATGAGTAGGTCTACGTCATGTACGAGAGTGAGTACTCGCTCGACTACTCATACTCGAGCTACAGGCTACAGCAGTACTACGACTACATCATGATCACCTTCCGGGATGGGCTCTGCCTGCGCTTTGGAAGTTTGGTTGATGCCCGGAGCGTCTGCCCACTCATTGTTCCTGTGGCCAATCGTTCACGGTTGAGCATGCACTATCGTGCCCTCTTGGTGGATTCCCATCCTTGAGGCACAACGAGGTGAGGGACATCACCGCCCACATGCTCCGGGACGTCGCCCATGATTAGCCCTTGGCGGATAGGCCTTGACAGATTATGCTAATATTTTCTTGAAATTATGCTTTTCGCATTGCTGAAAAAATTGCAGAATTATGCTATTTTTATGCTAAAAGTTATGCTAAAAGTTATCATATTATGCCGCATTATGCTCACATATGCTGCTAATGTACATGACTGTATAATGGTTCTGTGCAAAATAACAGGGGAATTATTTTTGTAGAGGGCATTGTACTGTAGTAGCAAAAGTTCAACGGGGTCAACGCACCGTCCGACCTAGCTACGACCGTCACTGATTGTAGTGGACTGGACATGTTCTCAAGGGAGTCGTAAACCAACGACTTCCTGGTGCATCTACTTGTACTTGTACTTGTAGAACATGTACAACTGCATGGAATTTGATGCGAATAGGCGGATTATTCCAATTTTATGCGATTCGTATGCAATTTGCCTCGAATTATGCGATTATTCGATTTTGGTAGGAATTATGCGAAAAATTATGCTAGCATAATCTGTCAAGGCCTATTGGCGGATTATGCCGGCATAATACATGTATTTGGCATAATCTTGGGATTTCGTCAAAAAATTGTGCTCCGGCATACATGTAATATACGGATTCCAACGTGTAAGGTCGGCATAAGCTTTCGGTTTAGACAAAAATTATGCTTAGTGCATAAGTACAGCTTTGTCAGAAAGCCTGCAGATGTTTTTTTTTTAAATACCCCAGTTACGACTCCTTGTCATAGTCCTTGGCGGATTATGCCGGCATATTACTATTTGGCATAATCTTGGGATTTCGTCAAAAAATTATGCTCCGGCATAATACGGATTCCAACGTGTTGTATCGGCATAATCTTTCGGTTTAGACAATAATAATTATTATGCTTAGGGCATGGCCGTGTGTGTATGCGTGGTTTCTCAATCCTCTATGTACAGCGTGAATACATAGTGGAACCGAGCATAATTCAGCATATTTGTTGGCATAATTGTGGCATAATCAAAAGCATAATTTGACGATTGGCCGAGCATAGTCCGCCAATGGCTACCCATGATGTTGTGGTAGAGCCCGATCTCCAGCCCGTGACGGGCGAGCGCTTTGCACACCGTACAGCCATTACTGGAGGAGGTGCACGGTTGGACGTGGCTGCCAGTGGAGTCTGGGGAGCCGGAGGTAGGTTTGAGCGAACATTCTTCGATGTTCGGGTGTTTAGCCCTTATGCTCGTTCAAACCGAAACCCCGCCTCCCTGGTGTCCGTCTATGCCAGACACGAGAAGGAGAAGCGTCGCTGCTACGAAGCACGAGTTTTGCACATCGAGCATGCTTCATTTGTCCTCATCGTCCTCAGTTGCACTGGCGGGCAAGGCAAAGCAGCGACGGCTCTCTACCGCAGGGTTGCGTCCATGGTATCGGAGAAGACAGGAGAGTCTTTCTCGTCGGTGATTGCCTTTCTTCGCGTGAGGTTGGGCTTTGCCCTCGTCCGAGCAGCTGCCGCTGCCATTCGTGGTCATCGACGTCCAGCCTCTTCCTCTGCCGTTGATCAGAACCGGTCAGCAGCGTTGGCTGTTGCGCAGTGTGGCTTGGCGTTGTGAGAACTACAAAAATAACTACTTGCACTGTGTCTGTGCTGGAATACTCCATCTCTGCAGTAGTGCATTTGTACTTGCATGAATCTGTAGCCTTACACAGTGTGTAGTATGTCACGCATGACCGCATGACTAAATCCAGTGTGCATTGATACCCTTTGCCGCTGGCTCCAGTACTAACTATACGGTGGGTCAGTTTTCAGTCATTCACCAATCAATGCATTTGTCACGGCTACCGCACTCTTTTGTTTTCCCGCACCTGTCACTGCACTGCACTTCCTCCGTGACCAGGTGACCCGGAGCTGTTATGTTGCAAGCGCTCATGTTTCCTTTGCGTCTCCTTCGGAGCGCTTTCCTGCTCTCCGTGCCTCTTTGCATCGCTGCACTTTGGCTGGCGCTGCTTGCAAGCAGCTCCTTTATATTCACATGTTCCGTGCTTTATTTGTTAGTTTTTAGAGATTTCGAGTTTGTTTGTTAGAGTTACTTAGATTTAGAGATTTCGAGTTTGTTTGTTAGAGTTACTTAGATTTAGAGATGTGGAGTTAGACCTACGAGAGTTAGAGTCAGTCTAGAGTTTGCCCGCGCTGCTTGTAATTGTTGTTTCGCAGTTCAGAGTTTTGCTTGCGTTTTCAGAGTTTCGTGGTTCACAGATGTCCCTCGTTCTTCACAGTACATGTACATGTATATCAGTTTGTTGTCAACAGTGAGATTCAGTACCAGAGTGTAACAGTGTCCCCATTGTACATGTACTACTTCCTGTGAAATATCCGTCTTTTCTTTTCTCTATTTATTCTCTTTACCAGGCGTGGGCCATCCCCTGGAATATCAAAATGGGTGCCATATTATTTTCTGTTTCTGTACAATGTACTGTAAAAATAATAATAAAATGAATCTCCGGAAAAAAACCTGCACAGTGGACTACTAGTAGATCTAGTCAGTGTGCCAGAAGTTTAAAAAAACAAAAACAAAAACCGACTACATCATGTACTGTAAAAGCCATTATTCTAACGAGGCGCATATACCGTAATAACGATTTCCCAAAATTGACCAGTTAACGTGTACCAAAAGTAACGATTCTCAACGCTCAATAGGACAGTATGTATGTATCGATTTCTGTATAACGATTTCTATTTTAACGACAGATTGCTCCTCGTTAACTCGTTAGAGTTAGCACTTCGTTATAATTATAATTATGGCTTTTACAGTAGGCTTTGATGGATTATGCTAGCATAATTTTTCGCATAATTCCTACCAAAATCGAATAATCGCATAATTCGAGGCAAATTGCATTCGAATCGCACAAAATTGGAATAATCCGCCTGTTCGCATCAATTAATTCCATACAGTTGTACATGTTCTACAAGTACAAGTACCAGTACAAGTAGATGCACCAGGAAGTCGTAGGTTTACGACTCCCTTGGTAACATATCCAGTCCACTACAATCAGTGACGGTCGTAGCTAGGTCGGACGGTGCGTTGACCCCGTTGAACTTTTGCTGCTGAAGTACAACGCGTTAACGCTCTCTACAAAAGAAGTCCCCTGTTATTTTGCACAAAACCATTATATACATGTACATGTACATTAGCAGCATATGTGAGCATAATGCGGCATAATATGATAACTATTTGATAACCGCAATCAATAAAACTAGCTGAACCGACATTTCGAAGTAGTGGTTGCGACTTCGGCGATGATTTGTAAGAAAGGGTTTGCTCCCCACACCGGAGCTCGCGCTATTCCGCCGACTTTACTTGACACTTGACTGACTCACGACTGCCATCCAGAGCACACGAGAAGTCCATCGAACCTTCGACTCGGCAAACCTGCAAGAAAGCACCACTCCCTGCTCAATACACAGTGTTTCGGGGAATTCACCCCTCATCAGTTGAGCTTGAGTAGGCTGAGGAAGATTGTGCCTGAAGAGCACCACTTATATAGTGCTCTCCAGGTACAAACATCACCAGGGATACAAACTTACAGAGACGCTCCGCTTCCAGCGCGATAAACACCTCGTGAACACCAGATAGCAGCGTGAGTCAGTGTCGCTCCTGGACGGTGAGACCAGACGTTGAGGACCCTCGGTCATTCGCAACGCTGTCACCTCCAAACCAACTAGTCGCAAGCCCGCGCTGGGCACAACAGTACGAAGTAGTGGTTGCGACTTCGGCGATGATTTGTAAGAAAGGGTTTGCTCCCCACACCGGAGCTCGCGCTATTCCGCCGACTTTATGCCGCCGACTTTACTTGACACTTGACTGACTCACGACTGCCATCCAGAGCACACGAGAAGTCCATCGAACCTTCGACTCGGCAAACCTGCAAGAAAGCACCACTCCCTGCTCAATACACAGTGTTTCGGGGAATTCACCCCTCATCAGTTGAGCTTGAGTAGGCTGAGGAAGATTGTGCCTGAAGAGCACCACTTATATAGTGCT